TCCACATCTGTAACAGGCTATTGATCTTCTAGATTCTGCTTCCTTCTCTATGTTCCTTGGAGGTCTATCATTATTTCGATCGTTTTCTGATAATAGAGCATCATTGTTGGGAAAATAAGAATTCGGAGACAACTTTATTACTGTTTGTTCCTGCAGTAAGACATATTTGAATGTTTGATTAAGTGTTTGTGCCTTGAGGAGTCTTATCATGCGTTGTAGCTGTGGTCTGAGACCACTGGTAAAGATAGATATGAAAAATATTTCTGAAAATGTTGGGTTCTCTGCATCCATAAGAGAATGTAAATATTCAAATTATTCTACATACTCAAGAACAGTACATGTTTGGTGTACTTTGGCGAACTCCTCTATGAAGTCTTCCCATGAGAGTACTCTGAATCGCCGATAGAGTTCTTTCACAAAATATTCCCAATTCAAGGTATTAACTTTGGCTAGCCACCCGCAGTACCATATATTGGCGACTTCTCCTAAATATAGCAATACAATCTCCACCTTCTGCTCGTCAAGAGTGTTGTGAATCATAAAATATTTTTCAAATCTTCGAACCCACCCGCAAGGATTTGCACCTTCAAAAAGAGGAATTTTCACTTCAGAAAATGCGAAATTATGGACAAAACCAGATCGGTTCATCGCCACGGGGGGTCCAGTGTAGTCCGGATGCTCTGTTGGGGCGATTCAGTTCAAACTGGGTCGGGTTGGTTCTAGGTCAGTTCGAATTGGACCGGGTCGGATCAAACCGATTCGGTTCAAATTGGTTTGAACCGGTTCGGCCTGATCTATTTCTTCTGCCAGTTCTATCTGGTTTTTCTCAGTCGAACCGGGTATAAGAGGAAACCTTAACCCAGATTTATTTACTTCTGTAGGCACGCCATTAGGGAGAGGCAGAGGCCTTAGTTCACATGCGTTTCAACCACCAGGGACGTCCAACTATTTTCGGCCCGGTCGGTGAAGCCAATGCAAGCAAATCCATGAATGATGTGAGCTGCCGATGAGTTTCATGGCGAAATTCATTCATTTCGTCCCTGAACGTGGAGTGTTTGAGATCAACTTCCTTCGCAGTGATTGTTTCAGGGTTCTCTGGTTCCGCGATCGCAGCCTTCCTTTTGGACTGAGTCTGTGAGGCAACATCAGCATAAGATTCGGATGGTTCAGGCTCTAATACCTTGTCAAAAGTCTTGGACATGGATCTAATCTGTGAGAATGATAATGAAGAAGAAGAAGAAGAAGATAGAGGAGACGAAGAAGAATATCGAAGAGAGAATAGAAATAGATTTCATTGATTCTAATTTTCGATGATCACAGAACAACGAAAATGAGACTTTCATAGGCTTAAAAGCAATAATGAAAACGTCTTCAGTGGCTGAAATCATGCTTGCCGAAATCGCGCAATGAGCTTGACATCGGCCGTGGGATGAGATGATGATACCAGGGCGTTGGCTATGGGATAAACTGATGAGTTACTTAGGGTTTGTCAACACTAACCCTAATTGGCTACATCCTTTTACCAATTTGCCCTTAGGTGAACTTCTTATTTTACCCTTCCTTTTATTACACCCTAAATGGACTCCTGACAAACCACCATATCATAAAGGCAAGATTGCTAAAGCATTTCCTCTCAAAAATTCACAACCTGTTTCTTAAAATAGAACTAGGATATCGAGAAAACATAGAGCAGAAGAACACTGCGGCAAACATATGATGCAACACCTACTAGCATATAGCCAAGAGCATTCATTTAACATTTGACAGCCATGAAACTCACCAGTTACATTTATGCCCTTTTGATTTTCTTTTAAAAGGGATAATGTAATGGCACGAGCTGTAGACCTTCACTCTCCTTCTCCAACTTGATATCCTACATGAAGAACCACACCAGGGTATGTCAAAGAAAGAATAATATATCCAATTTAGCCAGATTAAAAATTCACAACAAATTCCATGCTCTGTGGTCTATAATCAGTAAACAAAGCTGTATCCTAAATATAAAAGAGAAATCATTTTGGAGAATATACCTGTCCTTCAACTGTTTTGCACCACACTTAACCAGAATCTAGTTACAATCAGTTTTTGTGAAGAGAAATGGCTTAAAGAAAATCGCATATAATTCAAATATAGCAAGAGATAAGCTGAAAAATGATGCAATAATGCAGAAATTTCAATGAAAGAGAATATTTTACTTGCGAGATGGAATATCTTACCCCTGAAGGCTGAAGATGCATAATAATGAGAATCCTCCCCATAATTCCCATGGTAATTTTCTTCTGCAAGTCTATAGTACCCCCTAGTGGCTTAATACTTCATATCCACTCTATTTCTTGATAAGCTAAGACCAAAAGCTATGCAATCAATATGTATCATATAGTGAAGGTCAGATCTCCCCAATGAGTGAAAGTTTAACGTAATTTCCGGTGAGAATTAGGTCCTGCATCTTGATAAATTTTCCTGTATCTCCCTGCTCGAAACGAAGATTGATCAACGCAAAATGATAGCAGAAGGAGAAATCCTTTCACCTATCATTTTGTCTCTCAAATTAAGGGCTCCGGTACTGTCACCAAGTTTATGATACCCATTAATCAAGATTTTATACGTGACAGCATTAGGAGATACACCTTTCTGGGGAAGCTTATCAAAAAGCTTCTGAGCTCGATCCAGGTATCCCCATTTACACAAACCATTTATAAGAGCATTGTATGTAGCAATATTTGGAATGATACCCCTTTTCAGCATCTCATTCTGTAGTTTAAAAGCTTCATGCACATCACCAGCAGCCAAACAACCATGAATCAGGGTACAATATGTAAAATCATCTGGTATGAACCCTCTAAGCAACAAAACTGAGAAAACCTTTTTTGCATCATCAACCTTGCCAGCCTTGCATAACCCTGCCAGAGCTATATTGTTGACAATATTGCTAGGAATAGAAAAGCTCTTGGCACTCCCATCAAGCGAATCTGCAATTTTTTTAATGTCCAAACATCTAATATCAGCTTTCAGAAATTTTCCAAAATATTCGTCCTCCAGAAGAGGAATAAAATCCACGATCTTCGAGAATAGAATATTTGCTTCATCAATCCTACCAAGCCTATATAGGCTACTAATAATTTTGCTTAAAATTATTATGTTGGGGGCAAAACCCTCCTCAAGCATATCAAAATAAGCTGCAAAAGCTTTGTCCATCCTTCCTTCATTGCACCAACCAGCAATAAGGGCTCCATAAGTAACAACATTAGGGGCCAATCCCTTGCTATTCATCTCACAAAGAAGATCCATCAATTTACTCAACTTTCTGGACTTAAAAATTACGGTGATAAGAGAATTATACATTTCAATTGAAGGAGCAATTGCTTCACCTTCCATCACATCTTTAATTTTAAAAGCTTCTTCCATGTTTCCAACTCTGCAATACCCATTACACAGTACTCTATATGTTTGCCCATCTGGTAAACACCCCAAGTATTTCATCTTGCCAAGTATATCCTCTGCCTCAGCCATTTTTCCAATTTTACATAACCCATTAATCATTGTATTGAAGGTAACTCTATTTATGCCAAGACCTCTAGATAAAATGTTCTTCCACAGCCTTAGAGCCCCATGAACATCTCCCATTTTGAAGAAAACATCAAGCAGAGTACAACAACCAACCTCATCAGGGGTAACACCCCTTGTTAACATCAGTTGCCAAAGGTGTAAAGCATCATTGAAGGAACCAGAACAACATAAGCCTTTGAGAAGAGTATTATATGTCACAACAGTTGGTTTAATTCCTTTCTGAAGCATGTCATCACAAAGCTTGAAAGCCTCACCCATGTGACCTTTTCTACAGTATCCATCAACAAGAGTATTGTAACTAAATGAGTCTGGTTTGAGATTCCAGTTTTCCATTTGTACTATCACCTTCTTTGCTTTATAAATTTGACCAAGTTTACAGTAACCATTAATCAAGGAGTTGCAAATGAACAGATTCATCTTCAGACCTATCTTTAACATTTCATCCTGAAGCCTAACAGCATCATCCATTTTACCAACTTGACAATATCCATGGAATAAAACACCATAAGCATATTCATCCACAACAAGAAGCCCCTCTTTCCTTGTGGTCCGAAGTACCTTCTCTGCTTCCTCCACCATATGTTGTTTACAGTACCCCTTCATCAAAGAAGTATACGTAATCAAATTACAGGGAATACATCTTTCATACATCAACGTTAACACTCCTCTCGCACCTTCTAGATCTCCCAAGTTAACATACCCTTCAATCAAACTATTGTAAGCAACCACGTTCAATTCAAAACCTGAATTGTCCATTTCTTTCACAAACTCCACTGCTCTATCAACTCTCCCATCTTTACAATAGGCATTCACCATAATCGTGCATGTAAAAACATCAGGAACGATCCCAAGCGTAATCATCTGATCATAAACAAGCACAGCAGTGTAGCTTTGGTCATTTTTAACCAGGCTACTTAACAAACTATTGCAAGAGCGCAAGCTAGGCAGCTGACCGTACTTGCCCATATTGTCAAACACATGTAGTGCATTCTTAATCATGCCTTTTTCAGAATATAGTTTCAATATCATATCAAAAACAGTAGGGGAAAAGGAAAATTCCTTATAAACCCTAACAAGCTCATCCCAAACAACAAACGCAGAATAAGTGTTCTCACATAAACCAACCAATTCGTTTAAATACTCTCTAGTCTCATCATACATTCTAGCCCGGGACAAAATGTGAAGAATCTTACAAAAAGACTTGCTGTTCGGTCTAAAGTTTTGTTGCTTTGATGCCAATCTAAAAAATACCAAGCATGCGTCGGGGTTTAGTCTGAGATTGTAGAGAACAGAATTGAGGAGGTCATCGGAGAAGTGGAAAGCGAGATTGGTGAGCACGTCGTATCTCCTAAGGATGAGGAGGCGGGAGATTCGGTCGACTGACTGTGGTGGGCTGAGCTTAGAAGAATGGCGAAGGTTCCTCTGAAAGGCTCGGAACAAGTGGAAGAATTTACGAGTGTGGGGAATGGGGAGTAAAGAAACCATCTTTCGGCGAACCTAGCCTCCTCTGTCCCAAGATTTGAATTGTTGTTCGTAAAATATTGCAAACACGGTGGAATCAGCATAACTGGTGAGCACTAGATTGCATTATGGAAAACAGTAGAAAGAATAGATACTGGCACAGATGGACTTGCCATCAAACAGGAAACAAGAAGACTGGAGTTAAACAGCTCATTGTTAAGTAGCTGAGAGATTTTACCCTTGGTTAGCATAAATGTTAAAATTTTAATGCATAATAATTTAAGAACGTGAAAAAAATATATTTATTTTAATTTTTAATAATAATAAGTAATATTTAATTATTAAATTTTGAAATAAATTTTTAAACTAATAAATTCGTAATATTTGATAAATATTCTATTTATTTTTTATTATATCTTATCTAATTTAATTAATTTTATATATTTTTTTAATAATTAAAAATTTATTAAATTAATATAATAATATAAATAATTATTATTTATTTTATTAAATATAAAATTTTAATTTAATTATGTATAATAATTATTTATTTAAATACAAATATAATTATATTAATAAAAAAAATTTCTTTATATATTTTTTTTATATCATTTACTATTACATATAATATGTACGGATAAATTAATAATTTAGCTAAAAATACAATCATATGTCATTCAAATAAAAATATATTATTAACATATATTAATATACCATTATCAAAACGTAAAAAAATTTTGTCACTTCAATTCTGCGTTATTATCATTTAATTACTATCATTATTATACATTAATTAACCATCACTAAAATTTATCAAAACAAGAGTTAGATGTAGCTAGGCAAAGATGAAGTTCATGGTTAGATTTATTTTATTTTTGGGCTTTAGTTCTAAACTGCAAGGCGGCTCAGGCCTAGTTTGATGGATATTTCCTAAGACAATTTTCTAGATTCTGAGGATCTCAAAATCAGGACTCATTTCAGTTTGATTTCCATGCCTGCAAGGAGGCAAAAGATCAACAATGCTGAATCTAAAATATGTTTTAGAACTTGTAAATAATGATGATTCAATAATGATGATATGATTTTTTCATTTTTTTTTATTTATTTGAATTTCTAAACACAGTATGATTTTTTACTGATTGATGTATGGTTCTCAAAATTATGATTTTTTTCATTTTTTTAAACCATCGGTTTATTATTTTTAGTATGGTTTGATAATTTTTTTTCTTTATACTCTTAATATTTTTTATTATTTATAAAATTACCCTTCATTTTAAATCATTCTATCTTACATTTTTCACTCTTCTTTTTTTTTTCATCTTCATCTTCTATCGAACACTGATTCAAGAAGAGTCACACGCCTCTTCTTCTTCTTATTTTATTGTATATATTAATTATATATTTTTTACATATAAATATGTGTTTATATATTCAATTAAATTTATATACTTATATTTTTAATTATATATACATGTATATAATATATTTAATTATATTAATTTTATTACATATATATATATACATATTTATATATTTAATTATATATAAATACATGTAAATAATATTTTAATTATAAATATACATGTATGTAATATTTTAATTATATATATTAATATAATATGTTTAATTTTATATATATCTTTAATTATATATATTATATATGTATACATTTAATTATATATATTTTTATATCTCTATCTTTAACACTATATATTTTTTAAATTTTTTCTCTTTTTATTTTTTATTTATTATTATATACAATAAAAAATGAATAAAATAGACAATTTGCTCAAATACACAACCATATCATACTGTCAATCCAAACAAAAACAGTTGCCACTATCAGAAATTAATACATTATCATCTAAACATAGTTAAATTTGAACATTAATGAACCTTACACATACTATACCATACCCAACATTAATGAACCATCATGAAAATCATCTAATCAAACTATTACTGATCCAGAGCAAAGTGCTTGAAGTGCACTCTATTATTGTGAGTGAATAAATAACATAATATTTTATGCATATTTGACATCAATATTAATCGGTTTTTTATAAGTAGATAAACCCACAAATGAACACTAAATATGTCAGAACAACCAAAATGAATGCGTGTATGTACATAGAGAAATAACATTAATGCTTATTCAATGTTATATTGGTCCATAATTATCTTTTAGAAGAATTGCTCGAGTATATAAATTTCAATCGGTGATTGTTTCTTCAGAAATAACTGATTAACTGTAAAATTGGTAAGAAAATCAAGGTTCTCCCTTTGAACCCCTTAAAGTTTTTTTGCGTATTATTTCTTTTTCTTCTTTCTATTTTTCACTTGACTTTTTTATTTATAGAACACCTTACATCTTTTTATAAGGGTCTACATCTTTTCATAATAGAGAGAAAAAAAATTATAAATGGGTAAAATGAGGATTTAGTTGCCATTTAATTATCATTATTTTTACATATATAAACTTTCCCTTAAAGAGTGAAGATTGGCATATGGTATAATTAATGCACAATCTACCACCTATATTAAAAGCATACTAATATGTAATATTGGAAATAGTAATATCATAAATATCTATTACAATCATTTAATAAAAAACTGAGTTTCATGTATCACTGAGTTAAAATATCAAAATTTAGACTTCTTATCAAAACTTCATTATTCAAATAACAACATAATTCTGTATTTATACTTATATCTTGAGGAACATTCATGGCATGTTCATCATAATTATAAATAGTATTTGTAAAATGAAAAATCAATATAATTAAATATGCTGGTTAAAGAGACAAAAACATCAACTCTTATAACACCCATATCTCCCTGATTATTGATCTTGGATCATATTCACGTAATAAGTCACAACAAACTAATTAAATCCTTTTCATTCTCATCTTCAACAAAAGTATTCATCATTTATTTTAGATAAATAATGGGGTCAATAAAGTAAACTTAAATATAAGATCATAAACAGTTTGACACTCTTGTTACTCTATCAATTACATGCCAATACTCGTCAATTTTTTCAAGCATATTTATTGTCATTTGTTTTATTCTTTAATTTGGATTCAAAACCCACTAAGATAAGTCATTTTAATTTCATAAACTTTAGGGAAAGATTTGTATTGGATATTTATTTCCAGGAAATAATTCAATCATACTACCAAAAAAAAAAAATCAAACAACCACCAATCTTTTCAGTTAAATCCCACTCATCCAGACTTGGAAAAGCTTTATAATTTGTATCACATTGCTTGAGTCAATAAGATGTCTCCCTACAAATTATTGTAATGCTAAACATTAGATATTCAAAATTCCACCTAGTCTTACAATCAATAAGCAACTTTTTCGCACTATGCAACATTCAATTTCCTAGCTTTTGCTCGAACCTTTTCCTCCCTTTTAAATGTTGTCTAACATAAAGCAATGTAATGAATTCTATTGATTTCCATCCTAATAACATCTAAACTATACTTAACAAAAGAGTTCAATAGATGAGCACAACACTTCATATGCATCATTTTATACCACCTAGCATAAGAAAATTATGAGGAAGTTCATTCGTAAAAATACCAATTAAAATATTTTTGATTGAAGATTAAATAATTATAGATAAATTGATCACCGTACCCAAAAAACACTAAAAAAGCACATTAAGAACAAAGTCACTAGTATGTGGACAAGAAGTATAGACAAACGTAAAATTATGTAACTAATACAATTATTATCTATCATATAAAGACAAGATTTTATATCTTGAAATGACAAATACTTAAGAATGCAATATAACAAGCTATATAAATTTAGGGAAAGGAAGTACTTTATCATTCGACTTTGGCAAGTCCAAGTGTCATTAATGTAATGAGTTCCCAATTGCCATATAACCCTTTTTTTTGGGCAGTTGATGTCATATTTATGATGTTATGATAACTCCACTCTTGTTCTTCTCAATCGACTTGGTCATATTTTACTTTAAGTGTTGCACAATTTCAAAATATTTTGTCTAAGAGTTTGTAAGCTACCATATTAGTTAATGTTGAAGACTGCTTGAGTATTTTATAGATCCCACATATTCCACTATTAAAATGAGATATTCATATATATTATCAGTTTAATAATCCCTGTTTAATAATATCACAATATCTTGATTAAATGTATGGGCAATGACTATCACCTTCCCATCTGTTATTTCTTTTGTGGTTGATTTCTAATACAACTTGCCACATGTTCATTTGTTTCCTTTTGGTATATTTGTTCATATGTTCTTGTAAATGTGAAGTCTTTTTCTTAACTCTTTCGATATATTTATTTTTATTTTCAAAAGCAATCATATAATTGAAGTTATTTTTCTCTTTCCATTGACTTCTTCTATTGGGTTCATTTTTTTCCTAGTAGGAGATATAGGTGTAAGATATGTATCCATATTTTATGGCAAGTGGAGGTGGATATGATTGATGAAATGTCAAGAACTTGGAGTTGCTAGTGTTGTAAGCACATTATTTCTTATTTGAGTATGTATCTTATGCTACGACAAAGTGTAGTGACGCGGGAGGGTATAGAGAGGATCGAATCAACTCCTATAACCCCTCAACATATACAATAATAAAACTTTAACCGCCTAGATAAATATGTCCCTCTAATTGAATCTACAATTCTAAAATGAATGCAAAAATAAAGACTAGAAAAAATAAAACAAGAAAAGAAAAAAGCTACATTCTTACCGATAAATTGATCTCCGCTCCATGGCTCAAAAAGACTTCTGAAGACTCTTATTTCCTGAAGTACTTGAAGAAACTAAATTAACAAAAATGCTAATAGAAAAAAAGCTTAAACTTTCAAAAATTCTCTCAAATTGATTGTAATTGGTGTGTTTACAACCTACGAGCAAATGCCTATTTATAATCTTTCTTGGGCAATTAAATGAGTACAAACTCTTGGGATAATTTAATAAAATAATATTTTATATAAAATTCTATCTAAATATATGATAATTACATAGTAAAATAAGTATTTTATCCCTACGAAATTAAATAAATAATCATAAGGATATAATTTATAATAAAATAATAACTAAAATACCCTAATACTTATCTCATGTGAATTTCATGTAAAACACATGGAGAAATTAATTTAGTCATGTGGGTTTTTAATTTT